GTATGAACTCCACCCCCCGTCTACTCAAGCCAATCAGATAACAGCCACACTTCGCTGACCAATCGTAGCACGTTCTCGCTATAACCAATCACGTTTTACTTTACAATCAGGGCAGTCTCTTCCTGAAATAACTTTATTCATAATATGCATTGGCTCAAATAGGAAATATAAGGGCCATAAAAATGTATACAGTTAAAGATGTTTACAATTGTATTTCGTTAAATCATTAGACTGTGTATCAAGCCAAGCCACAGTATATTTTACATGCCTTTGAAAATGCCAGAGAAACAGCGCTTTAAATCACAGCTATGGGAACAATGCTGTACTGGATACAAATGCGTTATGGAAGCGAAGCGTCATTCAAGATGGAAAGAAAAGTGTCAACAAGTAACTGACTAATAAATTACTGTGTTCAACCTCATGATAAACATGCGAGTTTATGTAATAGGTTACATTGCCGTCACACAACAGCCAACATAACAGCGTTTTCCAGTTTTTCAGAGAAGCAGTTTGGATGAGATGGATATGGATATTTATTTTGTGAATATTTGTTTTTTGTTAATCGCTTTACATTTATTTGTGGATCATAATCTATTTATTTTGAATAATGCAACAATTCTACCCCCATAAGAAAAAACGTGTCACAGCAGATGAGTGTTTGCACTCTGTGATGTCACTGCGATCTGTTGTCATCAAAAACACTATGTCGTTAAGCTGATGATGTCAGTGATGACTGTGTGCGCTGTCATGAATATGCATATTTCCCTAATATATAGTATGCAAAAAGCAGTGTCAATTGAGTGGGATGTGCAAATTTGCTGTATTCATAAAAAGATGCCAAAAAAAAAAACCTGGATGACCTGCTACTTATTCCAAGATTTTGAATGTGCATCCAATGGACACTTTAGTATCACATGAAGTGACGGGAGAAGGGTTAGAAATAGTGGAGAAGTGATGAAACTGACATTATAGGTCACATGTCAACACCAAAATGGCTGGATGCATTCATACTACACAAATATTTTATAGAATACACTTTCATTGTTAGTTTGTGTTTTAAAGGGATAGTTCACACAAAAAAGAAAATTACCCCATGATTTGCTCACCCTCAAGCCATCCTGGGTGTACATGACTTTCTTCTTTCAGACGAATACAGCCGGAGTTATATTCAAAAATGTCCCGGCTCTTCCAAGCTTTATAATGACAGAGAACGGGGGAAGAGATTTTGAAGTCCAAAAAAGTGCATCCATGCATCATAAAGTATACTCCACTCGGCTCCGGGGGGTTAACAAAGGCCTTCTGAAGCGAAGTGATGCGTTTGTGTAAGAAAAATATCCATATTTAAAACTTTATCAACCGTAATCTCTAGCTTCCAGCGGATGACGTAGGACGCAAGCATGGTGTAAGCGCCGGAGAGAAGTGATGAACATGGAAGCGCAGAGGAGAGAGCAAAACAAAACACCAGTCACAAATTGGTAGTACAAAACAAGGACTTGTAAAGAAAAATGTTTGAGGATTTCGATATAAGCCAAGAGAAGACCGTTTTCCTTTGCTGTAAACAAAACTGGGTTCTCGTGAGGCTAGCATATTCTCAGCTGGAACGGCACTCTCTCGTGAACAAGCGTACAAGAGTTAGCGGAAGCTAGAGATTACAGTTGATAAAGTTTTAAATATGGATAGCTTTCTTACACAAACATATCGATTTGCTTCAGAAGGCCTTGATTAACCACCGCAGCCGTGTGGAGGACTTTTTATGATGGATAGATGCACTTTTTTGGGTTTCAAAATCTCGACCCGCCATTCACTGCTATAATAAAATTTGGAAGCACCAGGACATTTTTAATATAACTCTGCTTGTATTCGTCTGAAAGAAGAAAGTCATGTACAGCTAGGATGGCTTGAGGGTGAGTGAATCATGGGGCAGTTTTCATTTTTGGGTGAACTATCCCTTTAACTCCATTTCAGCATGTCAGGATATTTTCATGGTGAAAAACAGATTGATGTTCAACGTTTCATTGATTTATCATTTGTGTTCAAGGAATAAATATTAAGTAAACATCCAAAAAAATAAAAAGACAATTTACATTAAATAAAAATGCAAAATAAAATGAGTATAAAATGAGATAAAATAAATTTTAGATTTTGCCAGGCGCTTAGCAGAGTCTTGGTTAAAATGACAGAAAACCTTGTATAAGATGTTTAATGTCCAATTTTTCTCCAAATAAAAAAAATATATATATTTTTTGGTGTGGATATACTTTAACAAATCACAAAATTAATTATATATTAAATACTGAAGGTTAAATATATGCTGCTAAGTTGATGATGTCATCATGCTGACTGTGTTAGTCTGATGATGTCATAATTCTGACATTTGCCGCGTCCTAATTTGTCCACTTATGACATGCTTTATAACCATGTACTCTTTGGAGCAACACCGCATGCTTTTAAGTGTGCAGAGGAAGAGTGTGCAACTTTTGGGAAATAATACATAAATTTGGAATAGACGCAAGCTTACCACATATAGGTCCCTCCATATTGCCGCCCATTCTCGCAATGTAGTCGTGACCTCATGAATGAGCGGAATCTCAGTAGGAATGACCGTCTCCTTTTGTCTAAATGAACAGTGATAGAGTGCAAAACAGAAACAGCACAATAAGTGAAGGAGTTTTCCAAGAATATCACATGTGTGGGAAAAAACAGGCTGATTAACTGCATCTCACTGCATTCACGTCAGTAATTCCTGCTTACTACAGGCTCCTGAGGACGCCGAGTCATTCAGATCCCTTCATGCCAATGAAAACTAATTACCAGCGTCAGTCATCAAAAGAGCTGTTAAGAAATCTGAGCTGGGCTTTGCTCACGATTCCAATTACTCTCACACACTCACACCAAACTCGTGCATATTATATTCCTGAACCACGCTTGAAAATCCATTTCGAACTCCAAAATCTCCCATTAGGCTAGCAATGGGCTGCTGGGGCGCTAACTTAGTAAGACGTCTATGGAAAGAATATTGTTAACTGCGCTCAGGCTGGTTTCAGGGAGCAACACTGATATAATCAGACCAATAACAAAAGTAACAGGATCTTCAGATGCAGCAAAGGAGCGTAAAGTTTAATGGGATGTTCCAAAACATAGTAAGCTACCTACATAGGGAACTGCCTTGAAAAACAGCATCCTAACCATAGTAGAGACTGACAAGGTCAGATAAGAAAATATCTGTGTTTAAAGGTCTTAAAATGGTGAGAGGTGACAGAAATGGAGGGGGAACGGGGAGTGTATGGGTCTTTACATGAATAGGGCACTAAATAGAGTGTGAAACTCTTAAAAAATAATGAAATATATAAGAGAAGGTTTTTTTTCTTAGCAAATGAGCACTTAAGAGATAGAGATGGCACTTAACCTTCAGAAAATGCCAAGGACAAATTAAATATTATATAAATATTAAATATGCAAAAAATGGCAAACCTCATATAAAATTAATTTCATAACATTTTAAAACCATGGTTTGCATTAATTTGTATTTTTAGCAACATTAAACAAACAAACAAAAATAGACAAAATTATAAACAAAAAAAAAAGTAAAATAATATTAAAAATAACTATTAGAGATAGATAGATATTTTTTTCTTAACAATCGATCACTAAGAAATGTTATGTAACCTTCAGAAAATGTTGTGGATAAATGAAATATTATATAAATATGAATTTTATATGAGGTTTGCAATTTTTCCATTATATTATTTTAAAATAATTATTTGCATGAATTTATATTTTTTTTTAGCAATGATAAAAAATAGACAAAAAATATAAAACAAAACAAATAATATAAAATAAAACAAAAAATAAAAAACACAAAAAATATAAAAAATTAAATAAAATAAAAAAATAAAATACAATTCTCAAATACACTTCACTTTGCACATGGGAGACATGACTCACAACTGTTAAGCTAATAAGCTAATGTCACGATACTCTAAATATGCACTGCTCTGCACTGGTAATTAATCCATTTTTAATTGGACAAACTAACTAAACTACATCTAGTACTTTTGAGTAGAGAATGAAACATAAGCAGATTTATAGTCAACTTTTCTCCTGTTGAGTTTGTCACAACAAATCCTGGGATTGCTTTCCCCACGAAGAATTTGCAATCTGGCCGAAATGAGTTTGTCTGGAAAGAGAGCTAGTGTCTGCTAAGATGTTGCTAATTCTTTATTTCACATTCAACTAACTGCAAACTTTCAGGAATCTAAATGAACATACGGACCCATTGCCTTCAACCGTGGCCTCCTTCAGATTTATGTAACAAGCCGGAAACACGCCCTGTACATAGAGGAAACAAAGGGAAATTCAAGTTGAGGCCTGCTGAATGAGTGTATTGAAGAAAGCTGACTGTACTCTGGAAGCGTTTCATACAGTAACTCACCTTCTTCGATTTTCTCCTCAGCCGATACCCTCGATACCATCCTAAGAAGAGCAAGAAATATCACAGCAGTCAGACGGAAATGCCAACAATTAGATTACAGAGAGACGCCACTGTGTCCTATAGCACATCTAGAAAACAATATTCTGAGATTATAAAAGACATGTTTCATAAATCTCCTGGAGAAATAAAGTGAGGTGGCGGGCATGTCCACAAGGTACAAACAAATCATTCAACACTGAAGTGTGTGTTTTTGAGATCGGAGAGAGGAAAACTCTGATGATGACATATCTGTGTTCTAAAAAGTTTAATTTAATTAAATGTAAAAATAAATTACATTTAAAATAAAAACAGATAATAACAAAATAAATTATTTGGCTTTGTAGTTATTGATATTTTTTCCCATAACTGAAATAAATCCTTATTGATCTATCAATTTTTTCTTAAAATAGCTTTGATGAAGGCTTAAATGGTTGAGCTTGAATAATTTTCTTTTCATATTAATGCTTTGCTATGTCATATCTAGTTACAACAAAAATCGCCAAAAACCTCCATTTGGGGACGTCCGCATTTGTAAAACTGGTATAAAAATAAACAAAGTTTTTTTGAAATTGTAACAATGCAGAAACTGAGGGGTAGGGTTAGAGGTGGGTTTAGGTAAAAAATGTTATAACTATCTGTATATAAAAACAATAGAAGTCTATGTAATGTGCCCGTTTAGATAGCTATGTAAACGTGTGTGTGTGTGTGTGTGTGTGTTTCACCTTCGTAAGTCTCCAGAATGTGTACAGTGTCTCCGATCTGTAAGGACAGCTCTTCATCACTGCGAGCATCATAGTTATAGATTGCTGCAGACAGAGAACATAAAACACTGTAGTGAGACACATGGCATCAATTTCTGCTTGGTGTGTGTGTGAGGGAGAGAGCTATAGATGCTGCAGCAATGCAATAACTAACCACACAACAAACAACAGCAGCTCAGCAACAAACAGCGGCTCCAATTCGACACATACAAGCACCCAAAAGATCATGACTGAATGCAAAGTGTTTGAATGTTTTTAAATCGACATTTTCAGTGAATAGCCACTTTAATTACTTTAATGGTGCTTGAATGTATTTTTCTGGCTTGGCAGTAAAAATCACCATCCATATTCATCTTAACACTCATTGCTGCCCTACAAACACTGGTATTTCCTTCAGGAAGTGTGTAGGGGTGTGCGATATATATCGTCTGCGATAATATCGTAATTGTTGTTTTAACACGAGTGGAGCGACTGAGCGGAGCGCACACGCATAGAGCGGGATAATACGCAGAGCGTCACGCCACGTGAAAGTGAAACCTGAGCGGTGAACACATTTTCGGCAGCCGAAATTTCGATGCATTTCTAATTATTGGTGACATCAGAAATGGATATCATATAATAGATGCTTTTTTGAACACTTTATCAATTTAAAAATATTAAAAAATGATTTTTTTACACAGTACCCCGGTTGGGAAACACTGGGCTAAAGAGTGAAGAATAATTCACTGGATAATGTTAATTCACTGAATAATATTCTCTGGAATATTGAAATATAACAA